GACAGGGTCTTCCTAAGTCTCTAAACTGCCCAGGCTGTACTCTAATTTGCAATCCTCCTGCCTCAGCCTACCAGAGTGCTGGGATTATAGGCATGCACCACATTCAGCTGGCTGCTGGATTTCAAAAGCTGATCATACATAAGATTCAGGCAATGAAAAACTGGCATGGTAAAGACAGTTGGGAAATCTAAGTCAGCTGTTGAAAAACACTGATTTTCATAAACACTTTATTGAAATTGTTATTTTCAGAAAATGCCCACTTTCTGTCACAAAAAATAATTAATGAAAAATCTTGTTTTTCTTCCAAACATATTGCATTATTCACTTTTTTTAAAAAGGAAAAACTTCTCAAGGATCACTCTTTTTATAAAAATTTTTCAAACAAAGTTTTTTTTTTAGTATTTTAAAAGAAGAGCATTTTCATAAATATTGTACAAAATGCGTTTAAAACATTTCTCTCTCCAAAATATACCAACATATTTTTTGCTGAAAAGTATCTTAAAACATGCCTAAGAATAAAACTTATACAGGGCTGTGTATGATCTGAGTTCTGGAACAAAAACATCATTTTTATCTTTATTATTCATTATTTATCATTTTTACTTAAATAAAAGTGACAATTTTTTCAGCTTTTGAACAAAATGATGATTTTTTTTAAAAAAGTTAACTCTCCAGTCCAAATGTTAATGTTCATCTAAACTTCTTGTTTTCCCTTATTTGCTTAACATTTTTTAATGAGTAAACTCTGTAAAGCTTACTGTGTAAATAGGCAGTAAATATATTATTAAAAGACGTAAAGAGAGGGGAAAAAATCAATATAAGATGTACTTTGAGAGTTCTTAGTTTTTTTTTCTTTATAGTCCTGATAAGAAAGAGATGTGACAAAATTTTTTCATTTAATTATTAATTTAACATTGAAGACTAACCAAGAGTATAGTTAGATGTTTTAAAATAGAAACAAGAAGCTCAGACTCCATGGAGAGATCTGTTATATTTGCTTTGAGTTTACCTATTTAGGGACTAAATGAAAAGACCGTTTCATTCTTTGCTTAATGATCTGAAAAACGTTTCCTTTTAAAGGAAGAATCTTAGCAAAAAAGCAGTTCATGTATTTGGAATCATAAAAATGAGTTTCATGCAACCACCGCCCTTATGTGTACATTGTGTCTGGGAAATACAAAAGCGACAAGGCAAGGGCCTGACAGTGGCTCTTCACGGTGTCTCAGAACTTTCCTGCCATGCAGCAGCAATCCCGCAGCTACTAAAAGCTGTCTGTTAAAGTATACACTTTTTTTTTCTAAAGAAGAGCAGAGAAATTACTTACACCTTGGATGTTCTATCGCGGAGAGCCTTCCCTTTCCGCTCTGCAGGCCTCTGCCTGGCCACTGATCCCTCACCCTGGCTCGACAGCTGGTTTAATCTGCAAGCCAGGATGGAACACAGGGTCTTGCACTTGTTTTTTTTCCGTTTTTCTGAGGGCCTAGAGGCCTGGCCATTTCCATGGCAACCAGGAGGAAGCTGCCGGCCTACCAGTTTCATCAATCACACAGCAGGAGAGAACCTGCTGACCATCTTTTGGGGCTTTAAACTGGGTCTTTTCCAGAAAAAAAGGGAGAAGATCACTGCTGTATGCTGACCCTAAAGGACTGACACAAATGGAAGAAATTCTACTTTAGCAGGAAATTAAATGGATTAGAAGTGGACTATTGAGACTCCTTGATACTTTCAGTTCCATGACTCTTCCCATTCTTTCTGGCCTGATAAATTGTTACTTCTGGTCAGTGCCTGTGCTAGTATAAAAAGTGTCCTGAATTTGTTCTAGAAAAAAAAAAAAGGAGTCATTTCAACTTCAGAGATGTAGTTCTGTTCTTTTTTAGTTCATTTTTTAAAAATGTTAACAGCCACAAAACAAATAGGTAAAAAAATAAGTATTCTGTATACATTAGTCTATTTGGGCTGATACAACAAGCTATCATAAACTGGGTGGCTTAAGACACATTTATTTCTCAACATTTTGGAGGCTTAGAAATCCAAGATCAAGGCTCCAGCTGATTTGGTATCCAAGAGGGCCCATTTCATAGACAGCGCCTCCTAGCTGTGTCCTCACATGGTGAAAGAGAGAAAACACTCTTCTCTTCAGTACCTTCCAAGGTCACTAATCCCATTCATGAGAGCCCCACCCTTGTGATCTACTCACCCTCCCCACGTTCCCACAGTGAAGATTAAATTTCAACTTGTGAATTCGGGGGGGGACGGACCCAAAATCCAGTCTTTAGCAACTAATAAGTGCTTACTTGTAAATTTGGGCCTAATGGCATGGATTATGGAGATGGAATACAGTCTTGCCAGCCAAAAACACTAGGAGATTAGGACAATTGAAATCTTTACTTGGATATAGATTATCCAATATTCTGTAGAAAAGAGCACCTCTCTAGGGAAATTCATTCATTCATTCATTCTTCAGTTAGTGAATCCTTACCAGACACGTGCACTGTGCTGGGAGACTTAAGGGACACAGACATGAATGTCATGGTTCTTGTCTTCAAGGAAGTTCTATCTCAGAAAGGGTGGTTATGTAAGCTCTTTGCAGGACCTGAGTGAAGAGAGGTACAATTCATGGAAGTCTCTGAGAAGGTGGGGCTACCTTCTGCCTGGGAGATTGGGGAAATCTTTTGAAGAGCAGCAGCATTTGATCTGGGCCCTAAAGGCCAGCTAGGACTTGAATGGGTCACACGTAGGGGAAAAGGGGGACAGTGCCTCATGGAGTGATTCTGTAACAATGAGAAATGAGAACTGATAAAGAAGTTCTTCCTTTTCAGGCCCAGACAACACTGACACGAATGGCTTTCCAGGTGGCCCTGGGCATCACAGAACTCAAACAATTAAGGAGATTGTTGGAGCAAAGATTTGGAGGCAGAAGAGGGCCAGGTCTAGTCGCTTTTTAGAAAGTCAATGAATCATGATCAGGACAAAGGACAGAGAGAATTTTTTCTAGTTGGTGTGTAGTTTCTCAAGGATACAAGAAAAGTAAAATATGGACCTTGATTCAGTCATGATTCTGCTAAGCTTTTGCATATTATTTAAACTTTATGGGATCCATTTGTCTTGTCTATAGAGTGGAGATGATAATATTTTGCTGAAAAGCCAAGGTGAAGACCCAGGGAATAATATATTCAGACTGATCCCTGGATGAGGGAGGGAAAGGCTGGCCAGCCACATACCAAGTTCCTCAAGTTTATGGCGCGATTTCACTAACACAACGGCCTGGTATACTCAACCTTTGTTCCGACACCTTCCTCCACTCCAGAGACCGGAGAGTTGCAACGCTCAATTGAACCAGAGTGTCTTGCAGCTGGGGTCCCACATTTGATTTAAGTATCATTAATCACTTCTACTTGCTTTGGAACTGACTTCTTGGAGAGAAGACCATGAGGAAGGAATGGGAACTAAGATAAGTGGGGAGAGAGAGAACGGTCCTGGCCTCTCTTTTCCGGTAGGGGTCTCAGCAACAGAAACAGGTCTCGGAAGTAGCCACAATCGAGGCGGCTTTCTGATTGAGTTGCCTCCTGGTGGTGACAGATGTGGCATGAGCCTCACGCTGAGAACCCTGGCAGGAGAATCCAGCCTCTCATTCAGCACATTTCTGATTGCTCAAGAGGCAGCAGCTCCCGCGATGGCCTCATTCTGTGGTGACTTTCAGAGTTCATAAGTCCATTTCTTGAGGCCTCCCAATGACTCATGAGGACCGTACCACTATTTTACATGCCTAGTTGTTTAAAATCAGCTAGTGTGGGCTCTGTTGTCTGCAATGAAGGGCCTTAAATGACATATCAGTGACCAGTTCTGGCCAATAAAAGGTAAGGGGGATTTCTGGTACTGCCTCATTCTCGTCTTTATATTATGAATGAACTAAGATACATGACATGATATATTTAACATGCATGGGACACAAAGAAGACATTCAACAATGGTAGCTAAAATCATGTTACTCGTCTCTCTGTGTTTATGACCCCCATATCTTCCAGGACTCTGCCGAGTAGGACACTGTGTTGAAGGCAGACCGTGAAGAGGCAGGTAACTGTCTGGACTCAGGGGCCAAGTAAACAGCTGATGATAAAATACGGCGGGGGGCTCTGTGTGGCAATGTTGAACATTTACCCGAGATTTTATGTCTCCCTGTCCTTTTAAATCATTTGCTTCCATTTACTTTGCTCTGTGCACTAGCCAGGGCATATAGTTTAAATCAATTCAGCAAAAAACAAGCACTGGGAAGACTTAAAGCCACACCCTAGACTGCCTCTCTGATTCTATTGCAGTCTGTGAGTGGTGAATGAATGTTTGTGCGCCCTGTGGTTGAAATCTGGTTTTGTGCTGCATTAATTTTATTCTCCTTCTCTCAGTAGATGGCAAAAGCGAGCAGGCTCCTTACAGCACATGCAAATCACACCCAGTGTGTGAAGTAGAAGCGAAACCAATACCCACCTCCCCAGGGCCCCTTGCATGAATGGCTGGTAAGTCTGCACTGAAGCAGTTTAGCAACTGCTTTGTGTGTAATTTGTGTTCTAGTTCCCTAAAATCAATCATCTCAAGGCCTCAGATTCCGTCTCCCATACCCATGCTGATGGATTCTCATCCAAAATCTGCCCTACTATCCCCTCACTGCCTCCAAATCACTATCAGAATATTTTTCTATTCCTCACCTACTTTCTCAGTCCATCTGTTGGAATCTTCTATTGCTGTTTCTTCTACCCTGGGCCCTTTGGGAGCCATCGCAGGATTTCCCTGTCCTTTCCTTCCCCTTCTTGGGTGACAGCAGGCTTAGTTTTCTCAACTCACTACAGGATGCAACATTCATGTCCTCACCTAGTGGCCTGGGTCTGCTTAGGCCTCTCCCTCAGCACAGGTCTCTGGACTTCACCTTCCTTCCTTATCCCTGCTCTACTCTGTTCTCATGGAAACTTCTAGAAACTAGTGCCTCCGCTTTTCCCTTTTCTGTCCTATCCACCCTTGACTCTGTGCCAGCCTCACCTTTCCAGATGACTCAACCTGGCCTCTTTGCTCAGTGCTTCATTCCAGGTTTCCCTGGGTCACCTCTAGCATCTGCTTTCTCCAAACCACACTTACGGCACAGGCCCTTGTGGAGAAAGTATAAAGAACTAAAAGTTTCTACTGTTCAGCTTCATATGAGCTCCTACCTCTATCCCACTTTTTTCAGTGAGCACTTTCTCAGTGGCTTTGATGACTTCTCTACTTGAATCAAACCCTTGGTCCTCTCACAGCATTGCCATTCTTTGAAGAAGGCCTTGCATCTGAGAGAGGCCAGAAACCTTTCCTGGACCTTCTCACCATCCTGCTCACCCCAACATGCTTCTCCTTCAACAACAGGCATCTCAGATCAAGCGTATGACAGTGAAGTTTGTCAACTTGATTGTTCTGGGAGATTCCTAGGGGATTTGTAGTGAAGCACACTCTTGGAAGTGGCTGGGTGGGTCACGAAGGCAAGACCTTTGAGTCTATATCCCTGGCCTCTTCCTTTCTGGTGATGTTCCCTGTTCTGCTTCCTGATTGCCATGAACTGAGCAGTTTCCCTTCACTATGTCTTTCCACCCCATGATGTTCCTACTTTGGATCCAGCAGACCATGGACTGAATCTCCCGAAACTGTGAGCCAAATAAATCTCTCCTCCTTTGAATTGCAGGTAAGTATTTTGTACCCACAGTGAGAACTGATTAACACAGAATATCTCTCAATGCACCATTTCTGACCCTTTCAGCCACACTAGCTGCCCCTGTGATGATTAGCTATATGATGGGTCTGAGAAGCTGCACGTAGTAGCAACCTGCAAGTTCGTCATGCCCCCTACCCTAAGGCTTCTCTGTGATGAGAGACACCCCATATGCATCCTTGAAATCCTCACAAGTACAACCTGGAGGTATTGGGAACTATTAGAGTTTAGATCTAAAATGTTCCCCTAAGTCTCATGTTTGGAGGTGAGGACTGGTCAGAGAGACTGGGTCACAGGAGGCGTGACCTGGAAGGATGTATTCTCATCTCTGGCTCCTCTCTTCAGTCTCTGCTTCCTGACCACTATGTAGTGGACATCTTTCCTCCTTTATGCCATCCTACTATGCCACTTCTGCCTTGGAGCCCGCCAACCATGGATGGTATCCATGGAAACTGTGAGCCTCAATAAACCTGTTTTCCTTTTAAGTTACTGGTATTGGGTATTTTTGTCCCAGCCATGGGAAAATAAATAATACAGGGATTTAATTCTTCAGTAGAGTGAACTTTTGACCACTGGGGATTTAAACTGGCAGATAAGTGCATCTTCCTTTCTCACTCCAGACAGGAAGTAATGAGATATGTGTTATGTGGTTTCTTGTGTGGCTCATGGGATTAAGCACGTCAGTTATGTACCTTATGGTGTTTCTTACTACTTCACTTCTCTTTCCCTGATGTTTCTTGTGACCTCAATTCCCCGTAAAGTACACACACACACACACACACACACACACACACACACATATACTATATTATCTTTTTTTCTGTTTAGCTGTCTGGGGAAATCAAGCTAAGACACAATCTTTATTCTTTCCAGATTCTAAAATAAATCCTTCCACCTGTGAGCTAAAATCTAGCCCTTGCCAGTTCCTAAGAGACTTTATTCTCTAATGATAGCCTCATCTCTTCCAGTAAATGGAATTTTGGTAGTTTTATGGAATGTATCCTAAGTGCATAAAAAAAATCCCACTTTTTGGAGCACATCTCATAGGTGGTTACCTCCGTAAAATGGAGAGAACCAGATGTGAAGCATCACAGTGACATTTCCTGTCCTTGTGATGACTTTCCAAAGCCCTACAGTAATTTGGCATTGAATACAACCTTCATAGCAACATTCTCCATGAGGTTAACTGGATCCGTGAAGCAGCAGAGTCCCTGTCCCTCCATGGTGGTTACAGCACATCCAGTGCTTAGGAGAGAATAACAAAGGCTTGATATGATACAGATGTTGGGCAGCTGGCTGGCCTCATTCTCCAAATAAGTGATTCACTGCTTCATAGCCATTTCTTAGCTGATGTGATTCCAGTATGAGTCTTGGCAAAATTCACAAATTACTGCATGTCTTGGATTGTGGGAATCGACGACAAGTGGTAAGAACCAAGAGCATTAAAACCCATAAATCCCAGGCATCTACTGTACTTTCTCTCTCTGAAGCTCTACTATCTGGACCTTGAACTTCAGAGGTAGACAGCTTCCCCACCCCCAAACCAGCATACCCTCACTTGAATCTAGTGCCACTCAGCTAGAACCTCATTCTACTGAAACTAAGATTTGTTTTCCAAATCTTGTGGTTCTCTGTAAGACTTGATCTGCTTCCCTCCTCAGTAGTTCTTGACTATTAGGTAAACTTTGCTTGGTTCCTCATGGTCATTCATGAGCCTGTGACTTGGGGGGACTGTTGATCTTATTTTATTGATCACACCAGCCCCTCTCCTTTTTGGCACCTCTTCCTCTTTCCTTTGGGCACTACCTAGAGTGCAGTAATTGGCTTTGGTCGCTTCATGAGTTCTAGTCCCTGTCTCAACTACAATGAGGTCACTTATATGTGAAGAACAAACTCAGTGTCCATTCTTAGAGATAGGAAGGGTTATCTTCTTGATACTTGATGATCCATCTTCAAATTGAATATGTTTAGGGATGAATGAAAAGCTTAACTCTTTCACAACAGCTTTTTTCACTTTGGGAGAATTTTGCTATGTAAAATGATTTCTTATAAATGGCTGAATCTGTCTCCTGATGATTTTGAGACATGGATTATTTTTCTGCCTCTGAAATAGCACTGAAAGAAAACCTTCACTCTTCTTTCTGCTGGTCCTAATCAATACTCTGTTGGCTCATATTAAAGCTTCTTTTAGTCACTCTGAGCCCTGTTCTCAAAACATTTCAATTTTCCTTTCTCTTTTAATCCATGGAGGAAGCAAAGTCACCAGATGTTTTGAAATCTCTCCCACAGAAATAGGGAGGTTGAAGCATTAAATATTGTAGAAATAATAACATGTCAAATTAAGTTATAGAGCTAATGCAATGGTGATTTTAGAAATTCCCCACTGATTTTTTCCCCCAAAAGAATTCACACAAGTATTCTAAAGTGCAGTTGAGATAATGAAGGAGGAATATTCCAAAAATGAATAATGATAAGGGGAGGTTAGTCATGTCGGTTTAAAAAACAAACAAAGAAAGTGATAATTATTAAAATAATATGGTTCTGACATGGCTATAGATAGGCAACTCAGTGGGTGAATTGTGTAGTATAAGCAACCCAGAAGTATAGTTAAATATAAAAATTTAGTATCTAAAATATCAATGAGAAGATTAGGGATTACACAGCCATGATTCCGAAATCACTGGCTTTGAATTTGAAAAAAAAAATCTAAATAGAGATTGACGCAGTGTATTGAGTGAAGTCCATATGGACTTAGTGAATTAAAAAACAGAAAAGTAAGGAAATTAACTGAATGGTCAGATCTCTAGAACACTTAGAAATTTAAAATAACAAGAAATCGATGATGTGGTCACTTTGAAAAGGAGTCTGGCGAGTCCTCAAAGAGTGAAGCAAAGTATTATCATATGTCAGGTAGGTACCACTGTCGGAGATTTCTGTCATCAGCTTTCCGTCCCCACCTGCCCAGGGTAGGTCGCAGACCTGAGAAAAAGATACACTAGGAGACGGAACTAGGAGAGAAAGCGGCGCCAGGACGACCAATGCCGGTGCACCCGACAAAGGCGCTGGGCAGTCCCAGGCACTGACTTTTATTGGCAATCAGGTGGGGAAAAGGCCGTGTGTGGTTTCTATGGAAATTAATGTAAATGAGGCTCATAAAGGACAAGACAGAGCATTCTCGAATTAGGAACAGAACAGACAGAATATATGATTGTAATTAGAACATTGTCCTTCTAGCCTGAGGTTTTAGTCTTGGGAACGGAATCTGGGTGAGAGCTACTCTGACCTCGGCACATAGGCTTCAGCCAGACTTACTTCTCTAAACAAGCCAGTTGTAGGGTTCACTCTCACAGCCTGCCTTGGGAATAATCAGTGTTGCAGTGCTCTGCATACCGCTGTGAGGTAGGTACCCAGCATAAATGAAAATGTGTGTTCATGCAAAAACTTGTATGCAAGTGTTCATAGCATAATTCAGAATGCCCCCCCCATGAAGACAACCTGTGTCTTTCAACCAACAAATGGATAAATAAAATGTGACATTTCCACAATGAAAGGTTTTCCAGCAATGCAAAGCAACAAAGTACCGACTCACGCTGTTACATGGCCAACCCTCAAAACACCCTCCAAGTGAAAGAAGCCTGTCTGGAAACAGCAGATGTGTTACAGCTGCATTCATATGAAATATCCAGAGCAGGACAATTCAAAGACATAGAGAGAGATCGGACAAGAAATTAGGGGGTGGTGGTGAGCTAGCCAGTGCCGTCTAATGGGAATGGGATTTGGAAGTAACAAAAGGTTCTAAAATTGCAAATATTCTAAAACCATTTGATTTACACTTTTACATGGATAAGTTGTGTAGTGTATACAATTTTATCTTCATATTTGTTAAAAAAAGAAATAATGGAAGAACTCCGAGTGGAAATGTATTAACCAAATTCTCAAGATACACAGGAATATAGGAAGAGATATTTTTATGCGAGATTGGCTCATATGATTGTGGAGGTCCAGAAGTCCCCCTCCCCAAACTGTCACCTGTAATCTGGAGGCCTGGGAAAACTGGCAGCGTAGTTCCAGTCTAATCCTGAAGTCTTAGGAACCAGCAGAGCCCAGAAGACAAGGCTAGGTCTAAATCCAAAGGCCCAGGAGCTAGAAGTACTAGTGTCTGAGGGCAAAGGAAGACGGATATAGGCTGTAGTTTGCAGCTTAATTGTTCCCTAAGGCCTGTATGTTAAAGGTGTAGACCCATCTTGGTGCTATTGGGAGGCAGAAAAACCCTTAAGAGGTGGGGCGTAGCGGAAGATCTATGGGTCATTGGGCCATGGGTTTGAGGGGATAAGGAAACCTGGACCCTGGCCTTCCTTCTTCTCTTTTTTGCCTCCTGGCTGTCCATGAGGTGAGCGACTTTGCTTTGCCACCTATCCCTGCCATGATGTGCTGTCTCAATGGGGCCAATTTACCATGGACCAAAACCTCCAAAGCAGTGAGCAAAAATAAACCTTTTCTCTTGATTATCTCAGGTACTTGCTACAGTAACAGAAAAATAACACAATGCCCAGCTCAAGTAGAAAGAGCAAACTTGACCCTCCTTCACCAACCAGTGGCTTATTAACCCTTACTGTGCAAGGAGCCCAGTTTGCAAGATATGTATCCTATAAGGAGGGGACTCACAGAAGGTCTGGAAGATGGATTGGCTGGGATATTTGAACAAGCAGTGTAATAGGAAAGTTAGATTTATGTGTCCATGTAGAGAGCCAGGAATTAGGGAGTTTCTGGCTCTGTTTGAGAATCTTCCCCAAACCTGTACATTTGGCTAAGCACGGTATGTTTTAGGGCATCAGCCAGATAGTCAGAGAGGGTGTTGGCCCAGAGGGCCATGACAGTGCACAGTAAAGACTGGGGCTCCATCCCCAGGGTGTCTGCCTGGGAACCTAGCATGAGGGGCTGCTCCAACTTAAGGATCCCTTCCCTCACTTATGCCCCACATTTCCAGTTACTCTGTGTCCTTGTCTAGTTAAATACCCACTTCTAGGTAACCGCCCAAATCCAAGTCTTGGGTTCAAAGTAGAGCTGACTGGGCAACTTCCCCATCTCCCAGCAGACCAGCAGCTTTCTGACTAACTACGCCACCTACTGGTGACCCTCGGTTCTCACAAAGTCCAAACCGTTAACTAAGAGCAAACGCTGATACTCTATCTTACTGCTACCACAAGTTTCAAACTGGTAGCAAAGAACTAACAGAGGTGCTACCCATGAAACAAAAAAATACTGCTTTTGCTCTAAACTAGACACTTACATGATACAAACAGAAACAAAACCCAGCTTCTTGTCAGGTGATGGTGGTGGGACAAGAAGGCAGT